AAGAAATCAGAAGGATTCCCGCGAAGAGAAATTGGCCGCAAACTAGGAAGGACCTTACCGCGTCCAGAGAGCTACGGGCACCGGAACATATTACCTCGAGCAATTGAATGGAGAACCATTACCTCGACCCTGGAATGCTACGAAACTAAAACAATATTATAGCTAAGTCCCTCGCCTGCTGAGGACTTTTGCCGTCGAATATTCATCTTCAGTCGACGAAGGAAAAAGCTCGACCACGTAGGCGAGTCAAGGTACGGACGCGGCCTACCAACCAGCAAAAGCATAATGTTGTTTGCTTTGACGAACAACATCCTTGCCCGACAGGGACACCACGATCGAGCTCCGCTGTCGAAGTACCCCAACATGGCAGAACATCCAGCTCGCGACGGGCAGTTCACGCCACGAGCGTAAGATCCCGATCGCGATCATACGCCCGTCCCGCAGATCCCTACTCCGCACCCTCGACACATTTCAAAATGTGTCGAACCGATATTAGGGCCGAACGCATATCTCCACACGAAAAACACGAACTTCGTGAAAAATTCATAACGACCACAACAATGGTCGGACACATATATCCAAAGGTTATACCAAGTATCCATCAAATAAACAGTTATAAACAACGCAATTATAACATTCCGACCACAAGGGCCGGCGTTGTTCAAAATTACAATTTAGGCACGACGGCCACAAAACTAAATGAATGACAGCGGGCACGCAGGCCCTGAAATGACAGCGGACACGCAGGCCCTGAATAAAAAATATAATCAAGCTTCATTCTCCCTGTCGCTACTATCAGGGGGATAAAGGATCTTCCCGTCAACGACTTGGTTAAATTTGCCCCGGCCCTTCAACAACGCAATTATAATATGCCGACCACAATGGGCCTGCCCCCTCGACCACTATCTCAACCCCCGGGTTCAAGATCTTCAGCTACTCGACGGCAATGTTGAAGCCGTAATCAAGAGTATCAACAACGTCTTGTTCGAACACGCGGATGCGAGCGATCAAATTTGCCCCGGTCGCCATGTTCTTCTCCGCATCGGTCTCATCCTCGGCTAGGGCAGTGATCCCTTCTAACTCCGAGGTACAAGCGACCAGACGCTCGTTCTCTTTAGTGGCGGCCTCCAGTTGAGGTTTCAGCTCATTTAAATCCTTGAGAAGCCGAACTTGGGCCTCAAACTTTGGTTCGTGGTTGAGGATATCACACTTTAACTTATCATTTTTGGCCTTCAGCTTGTGAATTTTGGCATAGACCGTGTCGAGAGAGGCTTGAGCACTCGAGGACTCATCGTTTAGCGAAAGAGCTGTCTCGAGCACTCTCATCACAGCGGCCACATCCTCGACCAAGTGCTTCCGACAAACCTCCTTGTCTTCAGTCAAGATTGCCTCCCTCTCCTCCTCGCGCACGCCGAGGGAGCTCTCCTCGCTGAAGAGATCACGGTTTAGATAGCAAGGAGGTAATACAAAGACCCCCGCGGGCGCTTTGTCACCATCGGGCGTTACGCCCGCAGCGCTATCCACACGCTTCCTCTTAGCCCCGGGCTCGTTGACAGAAATCTGGGCGGGTTCAACAAAGGAAGCCGGATTTTTTGACGAGGAAGGGGAACCACTGGCCCGACCTGCAGATTTGGCCTGTTCCTGAAGCTGGGTGACTCTTTTTTGGCCCAGAGGTGGATGCGTTCTTAGGCCTCATCTTTAACAGACGCTCAGAAAGGGATGTCATTCGACCTGCAATCAAAAAGAATCGTTAGTCGGGTTGAAAAATCAAAATTAGCGTGAACACGTCACCGCATAAAGAGGAGCAAATTAACTAGGCTACGCCTCCTACCTAAAAGCCTCATGGCTTCCCCGTTTGAGGAGCACTCGAGCAAGGCCTTCGTGTTGATCAACCTATTGACTAAAAGATACTCCCCCTCGACGTCGAACAAGAGGTAGTTGTTCACATCCACGCACTTCGCGGGGAGAAACTCTTGACATAAGCTGACAACTTCTCGTACGAAAGCTGGTCTTGGGCGTCCAGGTCCTCGGGTTTCACAGCATAATATTCGGGCCTTTATTCATAATGCTTCCACTGCCATTCGAGCGGAAATCTGGCCATAAGTCGGGTAACTGGCCGCCCGTCCTCCACCTCTTCCACACGAGTATACAGGGAATCTATGGCCGCGTCCGTCAGGGGCTTCACGACGAAGTACCTCTCTTTGAAATTTCAGACGGACTCCAGGTAAGGCCGGGAGAGCTTCCCGAACTGCTTAAACGATACCCACGCCTGCCCCCCTCTGACGGATTGTCTTTGGAGGTGAAAGATGCGGAAAAAAAGGGGCAGCATAGCGCCTATCCTCAGATACTGACAGACGAGCTTAAGCGCTCGCATAAACGCCAGCGCGTTCGGATGGAGTTGAAAAGGCGCCAATTGAAGCCACTGGAAAACCCCGACTTGAAAATCATTGAAGGGCAAGCGCATCCCCGCCTCTTAAAAAGCAAATTCATACATGGGGAACCGTTTGCCCGGGTACGTCGAGCATATTCTCCGGTCGCGATGGGGGATTTGGAGTATCCAATTGGCGGGGGGCCTTTCTGCGCGTTCCTCCGGGCAATTGAACGCATCTGTCACGTCTTGGGAAAAGCACGATCGTTTATCCCGGGACTCAGGAGCGACCCAAGCCAAAGGGTCCTCGTCAGTGTGGGGCTCGTCTTCATAATTGGCGGCCAGAATGTCGTCCCCGACTGAGTGCGCCATTATACCTGAAAAACAGGGAAAAATAGTGAATTCGATATTATCAAATTCACCCTTCCACCGCAGATCAAGTGAAAGGGCGACGAAATCGACTCAAGCCCTCGACTACACGCTAAAGCGGACTATTACGTTGGGAGGTCATGTCGTCGGGGGATGATCACTCGTCGAGCGAGAAGCCCGAGATAATCCCTATATCTGGGGAAACCATCCCCTCTGTTACGGACATTGTTCGGGGAGGCCGCCCCGACACTATAGCTAATGAACGTCCATAGTGTCCGGCACATTCATGAGTGCTCGACGCGGAATCCATGAACTCCAATGAAAATTCATGAGTATTCAGCATAAAACTCATAAATGTTCATCCAATCAATGCATAATTTAGACATTTAATCCAGAAACGCTTAAGAAACGTGGTGTTAAGAGGTTGTAACTTACTTGGATGAAGAACTCAAAGAGAATCTGAGAAGTTGAGAGGATTGTTTCGCACAACGAGCAAGGAAATCTGGGAAATTGAGAGGATCACTTCACACCACGAGCAAGAAAAGTTGAAAGGAAACTTGAGAAGATGACAAATGAGACCCAGGGGCCCCTTTTATCAGTGACCAACGCCCCAAGGAGTCCCTCATGAAAGGTCATCATTCCCTTAAAGGGGTGGCATCCCAAAGCATTAGCCACGTGGCTCAACTGCCAACCACGCGTCCCTTCTGGACTGACGAGCATATGTCTGACTCCTACGCGTCATCCCCAGACGTGCACGAGACAGATACCCACGCGAGGGAATGCTCGACATTAGAGTACGTATAGGGGCACATCCATTCGACCATCTCGGGGACGAAGCAATGCTCGACAGACCGACAACTCCCTCAAGACGGGCGTGTCAAAGGAAATCTCGCGGAGGCTCCCCATCACTAATGCGGTCCTCTCGAGCAAGCGGTTGACCCCTTCGGTCTCGTTGCCCGCTCATCCATAATATCCCCCGACGCACTCGAGCTTGTCCCCCACGCGGGCAACAACTCGTTCTTTTCGGGGGACTTTGGCCGTCTTCCTCGATCAAGTCTCCGGTATTGAGAGCTGAACTCAAGTCACCGCCCTTTTGCTCAAGGGAAATAACTTAGGGGCTCCTGATCTGGATTGGGCCTACACTTGCCCTTCGAACGGGAAGCCCAAAAACAGCCCAAGTTAGGGACCGTTGGGCAACTCTCCACCCGACCGTTGGAGGACGTGGCCAACGATCCCACGACAACCATCTTAAACTGCCCTCTGAAAATCACGGGTCCAACGCTGTTCTCGCGGAGCAGTTGACCAAGGGGGAGTCCACTTGCTGGACTCCATACACACGTAAGCCCTGACAGTTTCTGTCATTGGGCCTCAACGTGGCCCAATAGTGGGAACCTTGGCCCAGCGCTGGGAGCTATAAATACACTCTCTCCTAAGAGGTCAGGTATTCAATTCATCTCTCTGAACTCATACTTGCTTGCTCATTCTGCAACTTACTTTGTTATCGGAGTATCTTGCAGGTACCCCCATCTCATTCAACTTCTGCCCGAGTTAGCTGTGACGGTCCATTTCTGATCCGGTAAGATCACTTATCCAAAACAATAATTAAACAGATGGAGTAATAACTAGTACTTCTATTAGTACTACTACTTAATAAACCCTTTTAGAGTAATATGAATACAAAGCACTTCTATTACTATTATTAATACTACTACTAATGATAATGAATACTACTAATAATAAACACTTCTATTAATGATAATCAATACTTCTATTAGTACTATGACTAACGATTATGTATAAAATTATTGTTTTGAGTAAGAATAATAATCATTTTAGATTTCTTGTAAAACATCTCAAAACTACAAAAAAATGATAAATGTTATTAAGGTATGTTTGAATTGATGGAATAGGATGGAATGAAGCGGTATCGGATGGAATGCATTTCATCCCATTCCATCATTTTTCATTATTTTTTTACCATTCAATTTGGACGGAATGAGTGTATTTCATGGTAACCTACCCAAACAATAGAATGATATTTTTATTGTTCATTTTATTCCGTTCATTTTTACTTATCCAAACAAACATAGCCTAAGACGATTTTAAAAAACTACAGCTACAAAACGGTATCAACAGGTACCGATAACATTCTCACCGCTTTTAATAAATTAATTCAAACCGCGATGACACCGAAATCGCGAAAATCTTTAGGCAACAGTTTTTTAAAACCAGTATAGTGAAATGAAGAGAATAAGGATTATACCATTGAGGAGTCCTATATCAAGGGTATCAACATCAAATCCAGCGTCGTAGTAATTATCATAGAAATGGCCCGGCGCGTCAACGTGAGTTCCTGTGTGAACACCGAGCTTCATAGCCGAGCCATTAGCGAATGAGCCATTCTTCATGCTAGCAGCAAGCCAAACACAGTGCCCTAACCCTTCCTTAGAGTCCCAAACCGGCATCTCAGGGACGAACCTGTGGGTGATATCGAATATTCGTCCGTCATCGTAGACTTCGCGGCGTGGAGGAACGAGATTCGTTTCGTCGCCGGTGAGGGAGCAGTCGCCGGAATCGAGGCCGGGGACGGATGGATAGGCGGTGGAGGCTGCGGCGACGGAAATAGCACAGAAAAACGGGAATATAAATAGAGACTTCATGCTCGGGTCGTGTTGCTTTTACTTGCTGCCTCCTCCCTCTCGATTTTATTCTTTATTTTGGGTGTTTCTGTGACGCGTTTTTATTTTTTATATTTCATTGGTGTAATATTCTTTTATATTTCATTGGTGTAATTTCTTTTCTTTTATTCTATACTAGCTGAAAATATAAATTTTTATAAAATAAAAGAGAAATTAAACAGTTTTTTTTTTCATTTCATTAACTCGGGAGAATGAGAGAGTGAAAGTTAGATGCACGTTCGGGAAGGAAAGAGCAAGAAAACCATAGCATCATATCAAGTTGGTATTTTAGTCACTAGGCAAGTGATATCAAAACCCATAAGTTAGTGGAAACAAGGTAGAGAAGGGTATTATTTTGGCAGCTTTAGTAATGTTCACGTATTTTGTGAAAAACTAAAAATATATATATGATTTTGAGATTTATCGAATACGACTCATTTATTTATAAGCGAATCACGCCTCTATTTTATCAAAATTAAATTGAAGTTGTATCTTCGCAACTAATACAAAAATATATCTTTAAACAAGGTTTGAGTCAACTACGCGTTAGTCCTTTACACTTCCTCATTTTCAATAATACATACCAATTCTCAAACTTCTTTCTACTCTATTTAGTTAAAGTGGTTTATTATTATGTTGTAACGAACGCTGTCAAGAACAAACTAAAACTATGAAAAAGATTGAGTTTCTTGAACAAACAAAAAAAAAACCTTCAGTACTTACGAAAAAGAAAGAGAGAGAAGAGAGGAGAAGAAGAAGAAGAAAAAATGGTTATAATTGTTTTACTATTCACTTTCTGTTTACCTCTAGATTTGGTAAACAACGTTGGTCTCTTTAAAACAAGTTTACAGGCGAGATCGACTAGGGAATCTCAATACAGTGTTTCAGTTCGCGTGCATAGTTAAAGCGTTTTCAAAAAGGCTCATTCGACTAAGAGCCAAGCGTTTTAGATTGTAAAAAAGGTAATGACAAAAAGGACCAAGTAAATGAGACAAAAGCATTTTAAATTGTAAAAGATAACGACATAACATTAAAGAAAGGTTGAAAATAGGTTGGTTCAAACACACGTTGTCTTTGCCTGACTCATTTCGCTCGTTTACTTGGTTACTCTGAGTGACTAGCGTACACAAATGTGAAAGTTTGATTATTTACAAAGTGCACTAAGTGCTTTATTTATAATATACATAAATAACTACTCTTTCAGTGGACTTCGTTTCCTTGCATGACATGTGTTCTTCATAACTTCCCTCCATGATCCCACATTCATCACTCCTGATATCAAACCCACATTTTCTCTCCATAACGCTTCGCCTTTGCAGTTTAGGCGCTTATGGGCCTTTTAACCCTTTTGGGCTTCTTACCTCTCTTGGGCCCAATCCATTCACCATGAACCCTTCTCTGATTGACTGCACTTATGAAACCTTGGTCGACTACATGTGAGATCATCCATGGTCAACATGTTTATGTTGTCGACTCCTCATAATTTTAATGCTCTTTAATGCTCTTAAAAGAATCTTTTTAACTTTTGGTTTGAATTTCTCTCTTTATGAAAATCTCAGCCAACAAATTGTCCCCTAAAATGTCCTTTTCGAGTGAATGAACACACACAAACATTTTAATTCTTTTCTCTTAGTGTGAAGTGACGTTATTGTAATCATGACTTTATTCTTCAAACGTTACATCAGCGACCACACAACCATTTCTCTGCTTTCTTCTAGCTTTAACTTCCTAGGACAATTGTGGCCTTCAACTTACCAACTTTCTTACCTCAGTTGCCATTTGTTTGACACGTGTCGGTTGTGTAGCCATAATTTTTCATTACTTTCTTCCCAAACGTTTGGTTTCTTTGGTGGTATAAATACCCCTTTCATTCCTTCATTTTCTCTTTACGCTTTATTTGCATCCTTAATCTTCTAACTTCCAAACTCAGCAAACAAACCCACCTTCGTTTTATTCAAAGCTTCCATTCACCTTCCATGGTGTCTCCAAGCCAAGTTGTTGAACATATTAACGCTCCTCACGCAGTTGAGCTAGTTTCCACCATGCTTGATTTCCTTGTTGTTGATGGACAAACCTATGTGTTGGAACCAAACCCAACATGCAACATTGCTACTTTCTGTTCTAACCGGTTGCTTCCATTTATCTGTAACAAAATTATGTATGCTCTCATGGGACCTATCCCTGATGAGATTAGGGCACCAAAAGATTTGAAAAAGTGCTTCCCTGTTCATAGAAGCACGAGCCCCCCCATCGCCCGATAGTGTCCTTTAGATTTCTCCCATATCTATAGGACCTCAAAAGTTTTTCGCTCCACTCCTGCTATCAACCAAGATTACATTGCATGGTTAAATAAGGTAACGAAAGTTAAAGGTGATGGGGGCTCTAGCACTTCAGCTGTCTTTGGGGACGTTTCTTCTCTTGGAACCCAAGGTGAAATTCTCAATCGCCTGAAAACACAACTCTTTCATGTCGATCTGATCACCCATTTAGAGGTGTTTCCCACTGATGGCGTTAAGGTCAAAGAAGAGTTGCAAAAGGTTAACGTTCATACAACCTTTCCTCATTTCATCACGTTTGTGGCTGAAGTATTTGCTTTTCTTGACTAGTTTTTGATCGATTTGGCCAAACGAAAGGAGATCATGGGGAAATGTCTTCCTAAAGAGGAGGAGTGTAATCTTGAATTGGCCTTCGTGGAGTCATCTATAACTGCTAGTGAAGCTCTAAATAAAGCTCTTGACAAAGCCAAAGAAGACTTCAAAAAGAGGGCCAATAATATTTCTCTGTGGCAGCGACAGATTGTTGTTTTGAAACAACAAATTGAAGAGCTGGAGAAAAAGATCAATGAAGCTGAAATCTTGCAAACTGCTGGCTTTGAGACAAATGAAAAGGCATTGAGTAACAAAGTTTCTACTGGGGTTCTTCATTGGGAGCGTATTGAGGCGTTGGATATCGAGCTAGCTGAACTGGATACCTCTCTTTCATTGATCAATGATCGACTATCTCTCGCTTGAGACCGCTATCTAACTCTCAAGGAAAACATGCCCTTTTAGCCATCTTTGTAATGCCTAATGTGTCTTTCAGGCCCTTTAGTGTCCTTTTACTATGTGATGAATGGTTTTTTACTCTTTTCCTATTACAATTTCTTGCAATATAGGTCTATATTTCTTTAACTATTTACCACTTACTCTTAATATTATACCTTCTGACGTTAACTCTTCGATCTCATAAGCATTGTTGGAAAAAACTTGAACCACTCGAAACGGTCCTTCCCAATTTGATGACCATTTTCCTAGAACTATATCTCTTCGATCCATGGGTAAGATCACTTTTCAAACCAAATCTCCAATGACGAACGATTTTGTATTCACCCTTCTATTATAGGCCTTTGCTACTTGTTCTTTCTGCATGAACAAAGTATTTAAAGCTGCTAGCCTATGCTCTTCAACATTTATCAGCGCATCATCCATCAGTCCCCAATAATACTCAGTAGGAATATCTTATTGTCTCTGTATTCTCACTGATTGCAAATGAATTTCTAAGGGAAATACTGCTTTGTGTCCGTAAACCAAATTGAAAGGCGTTGTCTTAGTCGACTCCTTTGGTGAGTTTCGACATGCCCATAATGCTTGGCCTAAAGTTGTATGCCAACTTCTAGGATTTTGGCCAACATATTTCTTAGTTAAACTTATAATGGTCTTATTCGCTGCTTCAACTTGCCCATTTGTCTGGGCATAATATGGTGTTGATGTTAATAGTTTGAACCCCATTTCTACAGCGAACTCGTTTATCTTTCGCCCTATGAACATAGTTTTTTGGTCATTTGTTATGGTCTCTGGTGTCCCAAACCTATATATGATTTGATTTTGAATGAAGGTCGTGACTTCCTCTTGGTCTACTTTAACCAGAGCGACCACTTCTACCCATTTTGAAAAACAATCAATACCTACCAAGATGTACTTGTGGCCTTTTGATGATGCAGGTTTAATTTCTCCAATAATATCCAAAGCCCATCCCCTAAAAGGCCAAGGTTTGATAACATAATGCAACTCACTAATTGGTACATGTTGAATTCCAGCATGTCTTTGTAATTCTTGGCAGCTTTTGGCAAAATCAATGCAATTTTTTAACATGGTCGACCAATACACTCCTATTCAACACAACAACCATTTCATCTTCTGGCATGCTTGATGCGTTCCACAAGAACCACTATGTACATCAGTTGTTGCCACATATGCTTCATTCTTTCATAAGCATTTTAACAACACTTTTCAGGAATTTTTCTGAACAATTCGTCTCCCATTAATCTATAACTTAACGCCCTGTACTTAACATTACGCTTTGTCGACCCAACTGGATTTTTTAAGTATCAACTATGGGGTTCCTCCAGTCGTCTTTAGCTAACACATCAATAGCGAAAACTTCGTCTACCATTTCAAAATTTCCAAAATACTCATAGTTTAGGAGATCAGGGATTACTTCAGGTGTTGCCCCCCCCCCCCCCCCCCAGTTTTTTTCATTGGTGTGGTTTCAAACTCCAACTTCTCTTTTACCTCAATGAACTCGTATATGCTTTCTTTGGGTATTTTGTATCCAAATGTGAACTGGGCTATGTCATTCGCTTCTTGGTTATCAATGTGCCTTACATGACTAATCGACACGTTGTCAAACTTTTGAAGTAATGATAACGCTTTGGCCACATACATTACCAGATGATCTTTAATGTAGTTGTATTCTTTGGTCAATTGTTTCACCACTATCTCTGAATCTCCGTTAATGTCAACATCTTTTATTCCAACGTCTAACATAATTTGAAGACCAATTATTTAGGATTCATACTCAGCCTCGTTGTTAGAGCATTTGTCTTTGATTTTATAACAAAATCTAGTTGGAATGCCATTTGGTGATAAGATAAAAATCCCTACCCTAGTTCCTTGTTTGTTTTTAGAGCTATCAAAATAACATTGCAAAGACTTAGTGCTTAC